TTTCTACCTATATTGATTAAAAAGAATAAATTAAATGTATGTATAACGTATAAATCAGTACATAATAAATATAAATAATTAAATGTATGAGAAATGAATCTTATAATTATATATTTATGTACCTATTATATGTTTAGGGTATTAATTCAGATAAAATATTAGGAGATCAGTTTTAAAGTTCAAAATATATCTTCAAACTTTAAAACATTTAATGTTTTTTTTCCTAGTTTTCCGCATGTATTAATAAAAAACTTTTAAATCGACCATTAGATAATGTAAATATTATGTGAAGATAAATTTAATATAAACTATTTTTTTTTTATAAGAAATATACGTTTTTTTGTATCCTATATACTCTATGTCTATATAGTCTACAACACAGGGGCGTACCCAAGGCAGGGTTTTTGGGTCTGGACCTCCCCCCCACATGGATTGACAGGATTTAAAATGTATATAAGGTGCAAACAGAGACGTATTCAGAAGTTTGGCGCCCGGGTGCCAATGTTTTTCCGCCCTCCCCCCCACCAACATTTTTTTTTTTACTTTTTCAACCTAACGAGCGCATTGGAGCTTACTTTCCGGTGAAAACCCGTTATCGTTATCCTTTTTAGAACAAAAGTTAGAAAAAAAAAGCAGATTTWARATTTTAAACATTATKTTATCTTTATAAATTAGTCACATTTACATATTTAATATAAAATAGGTTTAGTTATTATCAACTATAATTACAAAACAATAAATATTTAAAATTCACATTTTTTTTTTCGAGCTTTAAAGGAACTAAACTCATTATATCATCATAGTCTAAACCTTTTGTAATATCTGATTCGATGTTTAATATGGCGATACTGTTTAGTCGCCGTTCATCAGTCATCCTCGATTATATTATTGATAAAAAAAAAACTAATTTATATTATTTTTCATTTTCATTTTCATTAACAGAAGATCTGATTGTGTAATATGGTTTATATTGTATATATTTACATAATTATTATTGGTCTCCCCCTGTTCGGTTGGCACCACCTACCAAATTATAAACACCTAGATTGTACGAATATTACACAATATAATATATATTATAATCACGTACTAAGAAWTAAGTCCGATATCTATTCTTAGTCTGAACATAATATTAGTGAAGTACTATGACTGAAAATAGACTCAATGTCTCAATGGTTTAGCCACGTTAAGTATCAATACAGAAGAACTCCCAAAGAAGTTATTGAACAGYTTATTAAAAAAAATAGAAGACTAAAATTTTAAACTATTAAAAATTATATTTTAATAAATCAAGTTACATATTAATTGTAAGATTGCGGTGTTATTCTTATTTCTTTTACCATTTAAAGAGTTTATGAATAAACATTTTTGTTGGTTTTTCAATATCGTTTTTTTTATACTTTTTACATGTTAAAAAAATTTGGACCCTTCCTTTGAAAAATTCCTGGGTATGCCCCTGCTACAACCAAGCGCGCACCCAAGGGGGTGGCTAACGGAATTTAGCCCCCCCCCCCAAATGGCTAGCCCCAAAATAAAAAACAATCACTATATTATTCATAATTTAATTAATAGGTAAATATTTATGTTTTATATGTATAACATCACCGCTACGGCGCGACTTAAAACCGGAACAAAAAACAAAATTAGTTAGTAAAAGATTGTAAACAAGCTTTAAGATTTCTGTACATATTTC